CTTTCCCACACTCACATCAAAGGGCATCTCTCTGGAGGGTGTGTTCGAGCACCCCACTCTGGAATGCGCCTGCGCGTGCACGCGCGCGCACGTGTGTGTGTTTTTACAAGGCAGTGTTGTTTTACTGTGTTGTTTGCTCTTTGTTGGACTTTTATGTGGGCTGATGAGGCCTGGGGGCGGTGGCGGCGGTGGTGGGGGTGAGTGTAGTGGGTGGGGGTTGGATGGAGAGCAGGAAACGACGGCCACCTAGACAGGATGTGACATCATCGTCATCGTCATCATCATTTTTGGACAATATGGATCAATTCAAATAATTTTGCTGATTTGTCTCACCGTGAGGACAATTTAAAAAAAAATTAATTAATCTAAATGGGTGAATTAAAAACATTATTTCATTTATTCTTTTTTTTTTATCACGTTTTTTGTTGTTGTTTTGATAAAGTGAACTTTAGAATCCTTTCGCTTTCTGTCTCTGGGGATGGCGGCGAGTTGTCTGTGTTTCTATCAGATTGCGAAAGATTTGAAAAAAATGTTTTCATGAAAAATGCATCAAAAATTAAATAATTCAACTTCATCCAATGATTGTAATTGCAAAGAAAGCGTTTTCTGCTTTTGGATCAATTTGGGCGGTGGGGGCTTCATTTTCATTATTAAAATTAATAAAAATACATGGCACAAATATTACATTCAGGCGAAACGATGAAAAAAAGGATTTGACACAACATTTTAAGATATTTTTAACAATGAAAATTCCCTTTATATTGTCAGTTTTTATGCCCAAACTTTTGCTATGTTGAAAATTTTTACGGTTAAAAAAAAAAAGTACTGGTTAATATAAAATCAAGAGCGTCACTAGCATTCACGTGGTATTCAAGTGATAAAAAATATTTTATTTTTTTTAATGTTTGTACTTGTTTTCCCTGAACAGGGTTTTTGCCCATTACTCTTATTTGAATAGTAAAAAAAAAAAAACTCATTTTCAAAATGAATCAAATCACTTAGATCAAGAAACACAAAAGTGGCTCAAAATGGACATTTTCTTGATTTTTGTCGTTAATGATAAAGTCTCACTTCACAATGTCACACTTGACATTGTCATCCTCTCAAGTGGCCGGAAGCAACAAAAAAAAATCACAATTGGAACTTGTGCTTGTGCAATCTGTTTTCCTCCCTTCTGGTTTGCGGAGGCCTCCTCACTTTTTCATATATTTAGTCGCCGTCTATTTTTGTCTCAGTGGGCTGGATGATGCTTGCTTTCGCTTCACTCCCTTTTTTTTTTTTTTTTGTCTGAGTCTGCACTTCTACCCTTCGGTGGCTTTGGATAGGACGTGTGGAAATCGCTGCGTGAGAGCGACATATTGTGCGTGTTTCGATGGTGCTAAACACACACACGAGCGCGCCCGCGCACCTCGTACGGCCCTCCGGATTCCTTTCGCCGTCCGGCAGCATTGAGGAAATCCGCAGGGCATGTCCGTCTTGGCAGGATGCACACAAAAAAAAAACATTTGCAGACTCATGCCGTGAAACGAACATGTTGTTGTCTGCCATTTTGCATTTTTTGGTTGAATGTGCAGTTTTTCAGGGATTTGACCCATTACCAGGGGTCAAGGAAATTGCCCCCGGGTGGCAGAAATGAGTAAAATGGGCAGAGCGAGAGAAAGAGAGATGGATTTTTTATTTATTTGATTTTATTTTTGTGGGGGCCAATTCAGATTTTTAGCAGGAAAAAAATCCTGATAACCGGTTAATCAGTTTAATATAAAAAAATATATGAAATAACTTATTTTGGTCCGTCCACGTATTTTGTCCAGAAGCACTGATGGAAAAATTGTGCCCCTCCGCCCCCAGCATTGAAGTTGCCCATCGCTGCTGTAAATACTCGATGGGCCGGATGTCAAAATTTTGCCTCCCTACCTCGCCCCCGATTGTAAAAAGACGCCAAGTCAATTGTTGTTGCTTGCCCCGCCCCGCTCTCCCTTTTGAACCCGATGCCCTCGTCGGCTGCGCGGGGCATGAAGAGGCAACGTTGAGCCAGGCGGGTGGAGTGGAAAAAAAAAAATCCGAATGACAGAAGGAGGAAAGGTAAATAGGCAGGGGAAAAAAAAAAAAAAAGGGAGCAAATCACACCACGCGTGTCTGGTCGTGTCTGCCGCGTTGTGGGCGAGGCCGCTTCCTCTTCTAACGCCGCTGACCCCGAGCAACCCCCGCTGCCACCGCTGCCGCCGAGTCACTTCGGACCGAGTCTCGCGCACTCGGGAAGTTTCCTGGCCCGCTTTCCGGGCGAGCGGGGCGGATATTGGGGGGGCGATTATGCCGAGGAAGAGGAGGAGAATGCTGCCTCTGTCTTCATGTGTGAGAAAAAAAAAAAGGGCTTGCATTTTTCCAGAAGGAGAGAGAGAAGAAGAAATGGAATCTTTTCCAGGGATGAAATTCCTGGCTCGCTTGACGTTCAGGGTACAGCTGGGGATGTTTGCCCTCCTCCTGCTTTTTCTTTTTCTCTTCTTGCTCATCTTGTTTTCATTCCGCCCCAACAACACTTCAATAAAAGTGCACATGCCCGCATTCTTTTTCAAGTGCCTCAAACTTCTTGGGAATCTTGCTGCTTCCTTCCTCAATTGATCTGAGAACCAAAAATGATCATAAAAGTGAAAACTTCTTGATAAGCATGTTCTTTTTTTTTCCTGTCTCTGCTTTATTGTTTTTCAAA